CAAAAGCGATACTATACGCTATCCATTTATGTACTATGTTATATTAGTTTAACTTAAGTCAAAAGTGAAGAATTATTACTATATATTACCGCATTTGGAAATTTCAAAAAGTATATTAATATTTCGTAAACGTTTTGGCGAGAAAAGAAAGTTAAAAATATAATAATTGTTTGATCTATATAATTTAACGACAATTTATTATTTGTCACATATTTTTTATATCACGTTTTTTTTTGCCATAAAATCAAATATTAAAAACACAAATGTTTCAATAATAACTTCTAAATACTTTACAATTAATATTTTTGCAAAAACTATTTACAAATTTTTTGTAATTGTAAATAAAATGTATTTGTTTAAAATAAAATCATCATTGACAGTAGTTATTATAACACTATTAGACATTTTTTATAATGAATTCAATGACATTTATGCAATTTTTTTCAATAAAAATATTAACCATCAACAATAACTCATAGTTACCAAAGTGCTTGATTGTTTTCTTTTATCTTATTTTCGTTTTTTTAAATCAACAAGAGAAACGTTGGTTTTTTCCTTTTTTTTGGCCACAAATATTCCATTACAATATACATATACCTACCTAGTATTATCACACAAAACCCACACTTTCCGGCGATATTTTTCGTAATAACTCATTTACATATTCTTTTGCATATTTCATTTGTGTAAAGATGTATTTATCATTTTCTAATGATAAATTACAAGTTCGCTTCTATTATTAAAAGATTTAGGATGGTATGGTATTTATAAACTCATAAATATACATATATATTGACCATAAGATGAGTTATGATAATATGCCAGAAGAAAATAAACCAACAAAACATGTCATTAATAAAATAGTACTACCATTATTTACAAAAGTGCTATTTTATGTTTTATTAGAAACGCGACATATAATATAGAGTACTATTATAATATTATCATACAAGGGTGAGCTATTATAATATTATTATAATAGCTCACCCGGTGAAATATAAACCATCTGCTAGGTACAATTTGTATTTTTTGTTAAATGATATTATTTGTTTTTAATATAATAAACAAAACAATAGTTTATTTGAGTTAACGGCTGATGGATAGCTATAGTATTGAAAATATATTTTTGATTTATATTAACATTTTAAAACTTAACCAAGTGTTTATTATCATCTTACCAATACGTGGACACATTTTCTTTCTCCGAAATAAAAGAACAAAGTAAATCAAGTCTCAGTCTAATCAGCTGTACGCTCTGACGATGATAACATTGCTGCCGAAATACCTATACGCTACAGAGTATTCGATTTTGGGTTAATAGTTTATTTAAATATTTAAAGCAAATACCATTTTTCAAAAATAAAAATTTCATATTGTCGTTTTGATGATTACAACAAGATGTATTCAGGTAAATATCTGAGGTTGTCATTGTTGTAAACATATAAATTGTGCTTACAATACCTTTCCATAATTAGATATTTCAGTAAGATCGTTAAGAATCATTTAATTCTCGTATAGAAATACAAGGTTATAGCTGATATCTTTTAGATTATAGTTAATATTTTCATTAGTATCTTGTTATCCAGCTCAATTTATTGCAATTACTTCATGACCATAAAAGTTACAGAGAAAGTAATTCTAAAAAAGTAGGACTTATTCCCTGGGAAATGTCTAATTATGACCTTTTTTTTTTTATAGCTACTCACAAGTTTTTCAACTGTATATCTATCGCAATAGTTAAATAATGTAATACAAATACAACCGACCTTTCGGGTCGATGCGATGGTTTTGACGGATACGAAAGATTAAGCCGGGCCGGAAGTATTGGTGTACGCGAAACAAATGATAGGCGGCGTTTGAGATATTTCACACATAGGGCGAAAACCCTGTCGGCTTTTTGGACGCTGATTTATTTTTTCCGAAAGGCGTTTTGTCTTTCTCGGCCGCAAACCAACAGCGTGTACGGTGTACGTCCCGCACTTATATATCCCGGCCAAAGAGCGAGTGAGGGGAAATAAAAATCATTCTCCCGCAGGAACGCAAACGGAAAAGCAAACGAATCACGTCGTCGGGGTCCGGTGTGTGTGTTTTTCTTTCCGTCAACCGGATTGATGGGTTGCCCGTTTGTCCTCTTTCGATCCTCTCTCTCCTTGCCCGAGCCATTTCCTTCAATCGCCGTTCGCAGAGATTTCCAAAGGTGGATACCGTTCGGCTCGCCCCTTACACGTGTACGGTTTTATACCCCGTATAAGCCCCCTCGGCTTCGTTATTTTTTGGGTTTTTTTCGCAAGCACTCCCAGTCCAACTTTCCGTCTATCTGAAAAACGATTTCCCGCCGGTCTTCGGGGCAAGTGCTCACGCGTCGGCCCGCATCCTCTGCAACGACACACGTGGGAGCTACGGTAAACGAGCACGTGCGTCAGCGATTTCAACGATATACTATTACAAAGCAGCCACCACGATAGACCGGTCTCTGCACTGATCCAACGCCACGCACACATTTATGATGGGCACGGAAAAAGCCGAGGAAATAAAAAAAAAAACAAAGTAAAAAAGTCACGGTATTCGTCGACACCGATAAACGTCCGAATTATTGGTTTTTATGTGCGCGATGGGACGTGTAGGTTATTTCATTTGGTTCGTTATTTCTTTCTGCACTTCTTGCACGCCCCGAGAAGTGAATTTTTTACAAGATACTTACCCAATTTTTCATGCGACCTTTTTACAAATAATGTTCAATAGGGGAATAAAAAATAACAATTCGGTACTCTTAATTAAGTAATTTTTTTTTTACTCGTATTACTTTGCTAATAACAGGTCATAATATTAATTACATTCTATTTAAAAAAAAAAACATTTCTTTTAATAATGTTATCGTACATAATTTTTTTTTTTTTTTTTAAATAATGATACGACTTCAAAATAACACCAATAATATTCGACATTATTTCTACATATTATACTAATGCTAACGACTATTCCCAGACTCAAAAATAAAAATCGCATATCAACGTTTTGAATTTTTGCCGACCCATTTAACATTATTGGCGACCGCTGGTATAAACGTTTTAAAAATATTTACAATGTTTTGTATTTTACAAATTGTGTTCCATTTTTGAAACATACAATTTCTCCCAAAAACATATTTAAAAAATATGGAAAACATGCTTGACAACTTTGTTAATATGTTTTTTTTATTCTTTGGACACTACTTATTCTCAATAAATACAATTCTTTAGAATACAAAACCACTTTATAACTTTCAACACGTTGGAAAAAATATAATTCTTCTGACATGCAATTAAATCGTTTTAAAAGTTTGGTGCACTCAATTTTTTAGTACATTAAACATATTCAGCTATAAAGTTATATATAAAATGTAAATGGAACTCAAATGTGTTGTTGTTAACACCCTGAACTTAATAAAAACATTGAGTGGAATCGGGCATGACTTAGAAAATATTAAAATTATGTTAAATCACACTACATTTTCACTTACTTGTTAATATATTTTGGTAATAGATGAAATTACATAAGCAATTAACATTGAACTTTTTATTTGAGGTCCGAAGACATCAGTGATAGAAATCCGAAAACCCAGATGTTCACAGAAAACATTACACTACAATGCTGTGCACCAAAGTAAAATATTTATGATGAAAATGTAATAATAAAACATAACATCAAAAAGATAAATTGCTTTTGGCTTTCGGATTTGCTGAAATCCAAAAGCAATTTATAGTCAAAGTTAAGCCTTTTTTTAAATTTTTATCAAAACACTTTACTTAGCTACACAGCTTTATATTGTAATTATATATAATATTTATAAGATTTTTATGTGGCTTAAATGGACTTTTTTTTTAAAACGTACTTTCGGATTCCCATCACTAAAAGACACTAATCTGATGCTAGTAGTGTGTTGTTGTTTTATTGATTAATGTTGAAACTGTCCAATGAGATGAGGTAATTTGCCGTAGTTCAAAATATAGAGATTAAGTTCAAAGTTATATTTTATATAATCCTCGCGTGAAACATAGTATACTCTTAATAACATGTTTTGTTGTAATACATATTATATATACTATATATGTATATGATAGTATAAGAAAATACTTTAAGAACTTTAATCCCATTATATTTGCCATACAAAACAAACAAATTGTTTATACATTTAAAATGTATTAAAAATGTTTTTTTAACAACAATATTTGAAATAAAATAATTTAAAATTTCTTAGGCTATTGAATAGTTTTTTCGAGATAAAATTGTAATAATAAGTTAACAACTGTTTATACTTGTTTAAATGACTGCTATTTTCTGTTGTAATCTATAAGTTTTAGATTTGTGATTATTTAATAAAAAAATTAGTAAGTTGAAAAATTATTAAATTAAGTTTTTTAATTAAAATATTTAAAAATAATTAATATCGACCTAAAAATCAATGATGTGTGTTATTATACTTTAATGCGGTTTGTATAGGGATATGTATTTAACGCGTTAATATTATATTGTTAAATATAAACGGTACATGGGACATTTACTCGGTTTAGCATTAGATTGTATTGAAATGAAAAAATTGTAGGTACCTTTTTTTAACTAGGAATCAAAACATAAGTACACAACATTACTAGATTGGTTATCACGATCATAATGCATAGTATAAGTGACTGAAAAATATCAATATACACCGTGTCAGAGAGAATACAGATTACTAATAATTATTAATAATCAACAAAATAATGTGAAACTTGGAAAAACATGCTTTATTGATCAAATTTAATATTGTAATAACACAATCAGCGCACAACGTTAACTTTGGTGATAACGTCATAATAACATAATTATCAAGAACGAGCACGCGCTTTGCAACGCTTATTGCATTGATTGTATTTTTTGTATGTTTGATTTTATCTGCAATTTCCTAAGTTTGCGTTTAGCCAGAACGCGCGTGCACTAGGATTTTGCTGGATCATCTATTTTGGATTTATGTATAAATACCCAATGTGGTCGACGGAAAGAGTACATTTCAATTTGTAGTCGATCAAGAGCATCATCATGAAGGCATCGCTTGTATTCGCTTCAGCTCTCTTGGCTTGCGTGGCTTTGTCCGCCGCCACCACCCGGGTCGATGGCAAAAACAGTAAGTAAAATTTGTTGTTTTTACTTAAATATATTATTACATATTTTTTTTTTGCTGTCTGGTCTATAGGCCTTTTTAGATTTATTTTAACTCTTATACCGCTTTGAATTCTTCCCTTATTTCACGTTTAAACTTGAATATTTCATGATTAAGTAAAATACAGAAATTTGTACGTCTTATCTCGCGTTAAAGTCATCATGAATCGACCTTTTGATCAACACGTTAAGTAGCCGTCAAAAAGAGTGTAACGTTCAAAGTTTAATGTTCTCTTTATGTAATTAGGACTTATCTATTAAAAACCCATAGCTGATTGTAAATATTTACACCAAGCCACAATACAAATTAAATACATTAATAAATACTACAAAATAATTGAAACCAGTATAAAAAAATTGCACATGATCATTTGGTTAAAGGGATTACTTCCGTTTAAAATACTTTAACGAGGGATTAAAAAATAACTCTACTTTATAAATGCAGACGCGCCACTAACAACCAGCCAACAATAGGTCGATTACATCGGACTTAAAAATATACAAGCTAACGTTTTTGAACATTGTTTATAGGCCGTCTTAACAGACGCGACCAAGACAGCGCTGAGCTGAACCGCGATGCCAACATCGATGGCATTGAACACATCTACGACGACGACTTCAACACAAACGACAACCTGAACCTGAACAGAAACAACAACAAATACTACAACAGACATGACTGCACCAAGTTGAAGAACATGCACAAACCCCAATGCAAACACTTCAAAAACAACAACAACCAACTTATCGACGACCACGATGAAAACAACAAAAACAACAACGATAACTACAACAACAACAACAACGACTGGTACCAATACGGACGTTCCAGCGAGGAATCCATGTCCGGCGAGGAATCCAACGAACGTTTCCAACAGAACAACCTGTTCACCGTCAGCGGAACCAACAGCCTCTCCAAGGCCGTCACCGACAAAATCGCCGCTCTCAGCACAATCATCGCCACCGGAACCACCGATGACAACAACATGAGAGACCCGTTGACCCTGAAAACCACCACCGTCAAGTCTTCCAAAAAACACTTTGTCAACATCCACGACGCTCAGTTGCGCAACTTGAACAACGGAAAATTACAATACTTCGCCGTCAACCCGGAAAGCGACAACATCTACGTCGAATACGACTTCAACAACCTCAACGCCAACGGTCAGTACAAGACCAACCTGGAGAACATCAAGTCCGGTCAGTTCAACATCGACTTGAAAAACGTCCGAAGCAACGTGACCGCCAGGTTCCACTCTCACAGAGCGACTCTGATGCCCGCCAAGTTCGAATACGCCGACGTCACCGTCTACGATGAAAACAACCAGGAAACCACCAATTTGAACGAGGCTTTCGAGAACAAGTACATCAACGTTTTGAAACACGCCATCTCCGCCGAGGTTTACAGCACCGCCCACAAGGGTGTGTTCTCTCAGATCAAGAAAGAAATCAACACCCCGCTCACCCAGCAGTTGTCCGGCAACTTGGGTAAATTGTTCGACATGAGATGGAAGGAAGGCAATGTCGCTATGGAGATCAACAACGTCGGCAACCAACTCTCCTCCAACTACAACAACAACAACGACATGAAAGTCCGCTCCATGTCCTACACCCGTTTGGACGCCGGCAACTACAAATTGCGCTTCGACGTCAAGCTCGGAGGACTCCAATGGAACAGCGACGTCGTCGCCACCGTCGACGGACAACGCGCCCAGGCCCAGAACGTCAACTTCAACTTGAAGAAGGTCGAAATCGAAGTCAAAGTCATCAAGTCCGCCAACAACGACCAATGCCGCAGGATCAAAACCGACGTGTACTTGCATGGTCTCCAATACCAGGGATTGAACAGACAAATGCCGTCAACCATGAACCAGATGATCGACCAGAACATGTCCCGTTTCATCCAGCACTCGTTGGAAGCTTACATGCAAAAGACCATCCAGCAAGTCGTCTGCGAACACCAGAAATGGTAATGCAGTTGTTTTGATGTAAATCGACTCTAAAATAAATATAAAACAAATTCTAATATAATGTAACATTTGTATATCTGTCGACCTTCACCTTTTATAAGCCAACACTTATTTAAATATTTGATAAATTACTCTTTGTGGTTTTTGCATAAGAAGGGATAGAAATTATGTAGTCGTGTAGCTCCGAGAGATAAAACTTGAGGAAAATGGATTACTTCTAACATAATCACAAGTTGGTTGAATAAAAAACGAGAAAATGTCAAATGTGACCCATTCGAGTTTGGGTCTAAGAAGGCTAAAATGTTATTTTTGCCAAAAATTAGTAATCAATCTAACTAGACCACTAAACATTAAATTAAAACATTTTTATATTACATAAAAATAGTACACTCAGGAAAAAATATTTAGTCTTGTAAATTACAGCAACTTACTGATTATAATAATTTAATAGCTCATTCTCTAAAAGTTACATTAAGTGAGATTGTCTCTTATAGACTCAAAGTATAGAATATAGACAAAATAAATTATAACAAATTTAATAAACCAACTTTTCAATGAGACCATTGAGTAATACAATCTGAACGTTACATATATTGTTCGTATGAGTTGATAAAAATAAATCGTTGTTTATTCTTACAACAGAGCGATAACCACAAAAAATAAAGTGACTTACACTATGTAACAAAAATAAAATGCAATCTACTTCAAGTAATTAAGATGTTTATGACTATATTATTATAATCAGGTGACGCAATGACTCAACTGTTGTACTTTGGTAAAGTTAATAATACAATTAATACAGCTTACATTTGCAAAACTTCCTCTGTACTTTAGTGCACTTGTAACTTTACTTCAGTACAGCTTCGTAAAATAATGATATCAAATTCCAAATCAACTAATTCAAAAACATAACTCTACTGTTTTTGTTTACACCAAAGTGTAGCATATCACAACCCTCATTTATAACATTCAACTCATACATCAAAACAAGGTAAGTCTAGATTATGCTGTTATTTTTTTGAACATTGATTTAGGATATTATGAGTATCTTGTTTATTGTACTGCAATTTGATGGACTATGATGGTTAATTATATTTGTTTACTATTATAGCGTCATAAATATTACAAAATGTTTATTTTTTTTAAAAAATTATTCGTTTATTTTATTTATAAAAGTGTAAAAAAAATGGTTTATTAGTGTTTTTTATATGAAACCGAGTAATGTTAAAAACACTTCTTGTCAACAGTATACCAATTAATTGTAAACAGGAGATTTAACATAACAGCATAGACTCTCAATAAACATGTGGCTCAGTTAAAAGCGCATCATCTCTGCTTGGATCGCCACTCATGGAAACGTTTAAAAATAAAAATTAGTATATTCATGTGTGAAAAGTGTGGTGTTTAGATTTTAAGAACGTGTTTCAGTCAGACACAGTTTCTAATTAGACAGACTTGAAACTTATTCGGAATTAGTTTAAAAATGTATTGAGGTTATTAAAAGTACTCATAGCATTTATCATTTTTTATTGTCTTAACGCCCGAAATAAATTAAAGGACACTGTGAAATGCGCAGTTGCTATTGTTCAAAAAAAAACTTGTTTAAACCGCATAAAATTTAATAAGTGTAACAATGGCTATTATCTAAATTTACTTAAGAAAAAAACATTCAATAGTTGAAATAGCCACTGATAAAAATACAGAAGACAATTTATAACTAAAACTTATATTCAATTCCAAACAATACGGTAAGTTAAACAAAGTGAAAATATTTACAACCCAAATCAATTCCATAAAATAATGATTTACCGATTCAACACAGTTAGTAAAAACAAATAATTAATTCATCACCATATCCAGTACGATGTTAATAAATTAAATATAAATGTTTTCTACGCTCTTAGTAAATTAATTAGTAAATTAATATATCAATTTAAATACAAAGAAAATAAAGACAACGTTAACCACCATATTTTATTAAACTAAAACTAGTTTATTAAATATTCTAAAAACCTTAGTGAATACTTTTAAAATATATAAATATATAATTTTTTTTTTAATTCAACAATGACCTTCCAACAAATAACAAATGATAGATGTATAATTTCCTCATTCAATTTAACTTTTAGCAAACGAACGTTGTGGTTAGCTTGTTCATGTTGGGAATTTTACTATTATATTAAAGGCTTACATTATATCACTATTCTGTATTTTTTATTTATAAATTAATCCTTTTAAATTTAGCTAAATATATTTACATTTTTTGTTACATTAAAATATGATCAATAATAACAACTTTAAAATTAAAATGAGGAGAGAGGTAAAGTTTAATCTGAGAGGGAATCAAAATAACATTATTAATCTACCTCACTTCTGTCAACTATCTCAATCTAAATAGCCATGTAATATAAGTATTTCTATAAAATTGATTATCTCGATCACTCATTATTTTCATTACCTATAAAAAAAATGAACTGTAATTTAATTGAAAAAAACTTGTAATTTTAGTAATATGGCAGATACGATTAAAGTAAATCACTGACCTTTCTAATAATTTGTTAGCATTGTTAATAAACTAAAATGCTTCGGTTATTACATAATATAAAATTTCTGATCTGACGTTGTTAATCAAAGTGTACTTTTTCACGTGAAAAGCTGTACAAAGTTTACTTAACCTCCTTTTCACGCGCACCTGCGAATTATTATTGGAAACTTTCAAAAACAGTTATGAATGGACTGTCAGGTAGTGATCAGTTTTGCTTTACTAATTTATTAGCATGATCAATAGGCAATGATCTAAATATTAAACGAGATCCAATAATTCACTACAGCCGTCGACGTCTTCCAATTCAACCTAAGTTTATAGTATACATATATCAAGTAATGTAAGCATTGATAATAGCTGTACAAACTAACATTCATTTGTATTTTTAAATTTACTTACTTATTTTTATTTTTAAATACTTACCATTTGAAACGTTCAATCCACTAACTTTATAAACTAGTTTATACGTAGTACATAAAACAGTTTGTTCAGGTTTTTGTTATTTTTTTTTTACCACAAATTGTTACGCTATATTTTTGTCATTTTTCAGAAACGCGTTTTTAAATTAAAAAATACATAATTTATTTTTCATCTTGGATACTTATTACTAAACGATGAAACTGTCACAGAAACAACTAAAAAAGCTTTAACAAACACAAGATAATATGAAATAACTGATATATTTAATCGCATTAAAAATAAACTATAACAAACATTTTGTATAAGGTTCCTACATCTGTGTATTTTTGGAAGAAAACAGCTCATTTTAGTTTGAACCGTTCTCTGAAATGCTTAATCCGTCAATACATTTGCAAACAAATATAGATTTTTAATAATTAGGTACATCGATCGGAGTACATTTTTAATTTTAGCTTTTAATATTATTTTAAAATGGTTTAAAAAAATATCATGTTCTGGTTGTTAGCACACACCCTAAACTTCTTAAATGAGACACATGATTCGTCTTGACACTTATTACGGTAGTTTTTGAAGCAATCGATAATATTGAATTGTAGTCAAAATTGTGGTTCTTTGCGTTCAATAAGTTTTTAGAATGCACGTTGCAGCATAAATGGATGGTGCCTTTATGTGTGTGCGGTGTTAGATACTATCGATGGATATCTAAACAACGTACCTACTTGTATTTTTCTTGGTAATATGGGTGTATGGATGGTACACAGATATAAATAAATTATTCTTTTTGTCCAATAAAGGAGTGAAGCGTGCGTGCGTACACAATATCCGGGATGTTATTTATCGAGGTGTCGGGACACTCCTTTATTTGCGGTGTGTCTTATACGCGGTATACGCTTTTTACTCATTCTTATATATATATATATATATATACATGTTCTGTGTAATATTATTGCATGATCGATGACCTGTTGCTGTATATCCGCCGGATAGGTAATCGCGAAGGTACAAAAAAAAAAAGTACAGTAAAGTAAAGAAATATCTTATATAGTGTTGCCACTTTTTTAGAACCTTCGCAGCTATATCTGCCTCGTTTCGTGCAAGTTTGAATTATTATAGCACGATCTCGGTTTCTCTGGTTCAAGCCCCCACGGAAAGGCGTTAGGGTAAAAAACCGGTGTTCAACATAAATCGTCCACAAGTGCTTCCGTCCATCTATCTTATTTTACGACCTCAACTTTGCGCTTCCGTGTATTGTATAAAAATTAAAGTTTATGACCCGCTCGTTGCGGGGACTCCATTAAAATTAATCCATCATGATTTACTATATCCAAATGAAAAACCAAAACTCATACTAGAATAAAGCGGTAAAGCAAATAATATGCGAAAAAATCGTTGTGTGTACCGTATTATGATGTACAGGTAATGTTGCATATCCTGCGACTTTCAGATAGCTATCAAGTGGTGTAAATTAAAAAGTGATTTCTATAAAATACCGTAGATACCTCGAAGGAAACGAGATCCTTTATTTTTTTGTTGTCATACAATTTCATAAACATAATAAAATCTTCTCAAAAAATCAAACCAGCGATATTGATCTAAATTAAAAAAATTTAAAGTACTTAATTTGCAAAAAAAAATCAGATTGAATCTTTCAGACATATTATATTGTTTTATAAAACAAAAAGTTGTCCTTTTTAAAATTAAAACTTAAACACAAATAATTTTGTACAAAAGATAAGGTTTACACCTAAAAAAAAAGCCAAAATTTTGTTTTTTTTTTAATTTTTGGACTAAAAAAAGTTAAAAAAGGAACTGCATTTTAATCTGTTACAGTATTAAATAATCGTAGAAAATACTACAGAGACCGTTTACAAGAGCTTAAAAACATTTATATGTTTAGTAGGTACTTAATGTATAGTGTGGTATGCTCATGAGTGGGGATTGATAAGAAATATATCCCTATACCATTGATTTCATGTCAGGAAATACATTTAATTATATGATAATACTTATTATAACCGGAAGAACAATTATTAGAATTCACAATAGATGGTCAAGTAATGGCTTTTTCGAAATCCATAATCGTTGGTCGAATCATTTTCAA